CATAAATGAAAATGAGAAATTTAGCTTTAGCAACTAACTGAAATACGTTTAATTTTTATCTAATATTTCTATTGTATTTTATTTCAGCTTTTCTTTCAATTTACAACAATAGTTTTACTTAACGATCATAACCTTGATCTGAACACTGTCCCTAAACAACAGCAGGAAGTGTGTAGTGTGTACTGTAGTGTGCAGTGACTCTTACCGACATGTTTGCTATGAGTCCAGCTGCGTCCACTGTCAAACACACACACACGCGCGCACACACACACACACGCACACGCACACACACATGGGTTATTGGCACACGTCACTCACTAGGGCTGTTCTAAACTTTGTGTGTGTGTGTTTGACTTACAGGTGTGTGTTGTGTTTTTCGCTCTGATTCGTCCAAAAGTCCCTTCACTGACGTCCAGATGACTGACATCACCTATAAAATTCTGAAGAGCCTCTTTACGCTCACAGCTGGTCTCCTCCATACCTGTGCGTCCACACACACACATGTCACACTTGCACACAGTGTGTTTCCTCACAGCTGATTGTATGTGTGTGTGTTACCATGATCGGCGACGATGATGATGTTGACACACTGATGAAGGTTGAGTTGTTTGAGGCCGTTCATCAGCTGACCGATGACTCTGTCCACTCCCTGCAGAGCCAAGATCAGCTGCACACACACACACACACACAGATGTCAGCAGATGTTTTGAAGCTGAATGTGTTTTTCAGCATAAATCAGCGTTTTAAAGCTATTTGTGGCATCAGACGATCATCAACATCATCTGATACTCCTGGCCTTCAGAAGTCAGCGCAGACAGGAAGTGATGAGGAGCGTGTGAGAGAAACATCATCAGCACACACCAGTGAGTCTGTGTCACCCGCTTGTGATGCTTGATAAACACTGCTGAGTGTGTGTGTGTGTGTGTGTGTGTGTTCTCACCCCTCCGCTGACGGGTCCATAACTGTGTCCTGAACTATCAGGCTCCTCCAAGTAGATTGTGAAGAAATCTGGCCTACAGCAGCAGAAACACACACACACACACACACACACACACACACACAGCTGACCTCGGATGCAGATTCAGCGTTTTCACATCTGTGTATCGTTTGCTTTGCTGTGATATTTATGAAGGAGTTTGAGTGGAAATTCACAGCTGCATATCTGCCACTGGGCTCAGAAAAAATAACCTTGTTTCGCCTTTGAATGACATTGAATTTTCCGACCACCATGGACAGATATTTTTTTCTGGTTTCAAGTCGTACTTTTATAACTTTAGTTAGTGTGTAATGTTGCTGTTTGAGCATAAATAATGTCTGCAAATTACGACGCTCAAAATTCAATGCAAAAGGAGATCTTTTCTTTTACAGAATTCGCTTTTTAAGGCCTACAACACACGGCTGGTAGGGACTACAACCAGCTTCTTCCTGGGTTGGTGACATCACAAACCCTAACATTTACATAAACCCCGCCCCCGGGAACACACAACAAAGGGGGCGGGGTCATGTTGGGCTGCTTTAGAGAAGAGGAGGAGCTGTTGTCGGAGAGTGTTGTTTTCACCCCGATTCTTTGTTCGGCACGCTGCACTTAAGGAACAATGGTTACATTTTATTTTTTAACTTAGTTCCTGAAATTTCTAATCCCAATACAGCTCTCTGTGCTGCATGTTTTATGGAGGACAGCTTCCTCAATCTACACGAGTTCATTGCCGGATTCGCACAAAGGCTTGTCCTGAAGGATGGAGCAGTTCCCGCTTTAAAAGCAGAAGCTGTTGTTTACGGGCCACAGCCTGTAAGTGTGTTTGATTCTTTGCTGATGTGTTTTCCATTAATAGTTTCTATCATTTTATGTTGTAGCAAGGACGTAAACGAATGGCAACGCTGTTTGGCTCTGCTAGCCAGCGATCTCCGCCAGTGAACTTCGAATGTTGGTGTTTATGTGACAAGTGTAAATTATTCTTTGATTAGAGCTTTTATGCAGCGTTTACCAACATGCTTGTTTAGCTACAGGCACGCTAAATATGGTCCTGTGTTTGATTTGGCCACTGTAGTAAAGCATGGTCAGTCTTCATACTAGGCGGTTAGCGAATCACAGCACACTGGGCCAGCTAACCAATCTGAGCCCAGGAAAAGACACAAATGAAATAAAGAAATCTAATAATTTTTTGTAATGAATGTAACAGGTTGTGAAAAACACCCGAAAGACACTGAGCAAACAGATCCTGCAGATTCAGACACGTGATGTGATGAAGGACGGTCATGATGAAGATGATTTACCGTTTATCCTCTGGTAACTGCAGCCAGCGCAGAACACTGAAGATCCTCTCCTCATATGGGACCTTCCTACACACACACACACACACACACACACAGTATGATCAGGTCACATGTTCAGCCATGTTTGAGTTCGTTCTGTGAGCTAAAACTAATTCGCTATTAAAGGGGTCATATGATGTTGCTAAAAAGAACAGTATTTTGTGTATTTGGTGTAATGAAATGTGTTTATGCGGTTTAAGGTTAAAAAAACACATTATTTTCCACATACTCTACATTATTGTTTCTCCTCTATGCCCCGCCTTTCTGAAATGCGTAGATTTTTACAAAGCTCATCGGTCTGAAAAGCGAGGTGTGCTGTGATTGGCCAGCTATCCAGTGTGTTGTGATTGGCCGAATACCTCAAGCGTGTGACGGAAATGTTACGCCCCTCACCATACTGTGATGATGCCGTGTCCGGCCGGAGCGACGAGACAAAAACATTAAAACCCATTATAAACGAGGCATTCGTTGCATCCAGTGGGGACATAATTACTGATTATAATGACTTATACTGTCTTTTTACGCGTTGCGTTGCATCGCGCCACGTAAACATAAAACCATGTCTACATTTGTGATCGGAGAAATGACAAACAACAAGCCCTACTCTACACTGCCCAAAACTTGCGTTTGAATGATCAGTGGCAAATTCTTTAAATATAAAGACGTACTTACAGTCTGTGAGTCTCTACTCTCCCAGGATCAGGAGACAGTCCTCCATAAAATGTGCTGCACACATCTGAATAATTTCGCTTTCACAACGAATCACACAGCACCTTCACAACATGGTGGCAGCAACAATACTACAGCGAGAATAAAAGTTACGCCTTCTTTCTTTACGTGAACATTTGGGCGGCGTTATGCAGATCTTCCCACATAGTGACATAGACATGTGAGGGCTTGTTGACATAGGTAGGCGTGGTTGACTCTTAACTTTTATAAAGAATATCTCTTTTGATTTGAGACTTTAGTCTTTGCAACTTTACAGATCTTCTTTATGCACCAAGAGCTTGTAACACTCCAAAGAGAAAGGAAAACTTGAAATTGCATCATATGACCCCTTTAATATTACAAAACACAAAAATGAATATTAATAACACTAATAATAAAACTAATACTAATATAAAAGATAGAATAGTAATAATACTAATAATACCATTACAAATAATAATACTAAAAATAAAATATATAACATTAATACAACACTAATGCTACTAATAAAACTAATACTAAAAATACAATTAATATTAATAGGAATACTACTAATAAAACGAATGCCAATACTAAAACTAACATTAATACTACTACTAATACTTTTAATAATAATAATAGTAATAATACTAATACAAATAATAATAATACTAAAAATATAATTAATACTAACACTAAACTACAAACTCACATAGTACATGATGACATAAATAATACCGGACGCTGAACTGAAAACAGGGAACACTATTTAAACACATGACAAGACGAGGGATGACTAGACACACACGGGATCAATGGAAATAAACAGGGAACACTTGGAATTAAATCAACATAATCAGGACAGGAACAGGAAACTAACAAAATATGGGCATAAACACTGGTACACAGGGAGCACATGGGGAACAAAACACAACACAAGCCTGACATGACGCCCCCCTCCGGAAGGTGCGTCCTCACGCCATACAACATCAAAGGAGTAGGAGGGTGGGCGCCTTGGAGATCCCTCAGGAAAGGCTTGGATGGGACGGGATGCCCCAAGGCGGTCCCAGATCCGGGCACCATGGCGGAGCAGGCAACTCAGGAGGCCATGGCAGATCAGGGGACACAGGAGGCCATGACAGATCAGGGGACTCAGGAGGCCATGACGGGTCAGGAGACTCAGGAGGCGATGACGGATCAGGGAACTCAGGAGGCCATGACGGATCAGGGGACTCAGGAGGCCATGGTGGATCTGGCAGCCCAGGAGGCCCCAGTGGAGCAGGTAGTTCAGGAGGCCATGGCAAAGCGGCCTCTGAGGCCACGGTCCCAGCCCCCGCCCCCACTCCGGCCTCTACGGCTGGAGCCCTACTTGGGGAAGAACAAAAAAATACTTGGGGAAGATTTCGGGCTCCGAGGCCCTCCGTGGGCCATAACCAGGGACAGGAGCCCTCCCCTGGGCCTAACTGGGGATCTGGAGTCCTCCCTGGGCTTAAATGGGGATCTGGAGCCCGGCGGTCCCAGATCCGGGCACCATGGTGGAGCAGGCAACTCAGGAGGCCATGGCGGATCAGGGGACTCAGGAGGCCATGCCGGATCTGGCAGATTGGGGTGCCATGGCGGATCTGGCAGTTCGGGGAGGAGCAGGTAGACTAAGAGGCCATGGCGGCATAGGGAACTCAGGAGGCCATGGTGGAGCAGCCTCCGAGGCCGCGGCCCCAGCCCCCGCCTTGGCCTCTATGGCTGGAGCCCTACTTCCCCCCC